TGAAAGACTATAGTAAAGACTATGAAAGACTATAGTCCTAACTATGAAAGACTATAGTCCTGACTATGAAAGACTATAGTCCTGACTATGAAAGACTATAGTCCTGACTACGAAAGACCATAGTCCTGACTATGAAAGACTATAGTCCTGACTATGAAAGACTATAGTCCTGACTATGAAAGATTATAGTAAAGACTATGAAAGACTATAGTCCTGACTATGAAAGACTATAGTCCTGACTATGAAAGACTATAGTCCTGACTATGAAAGACTATAGTAATAATATTATTATTATTAGATTCGTTTATTCAAATAAAACACTTTGCAGTCATAGACTGAATTATGTGAATATTTACAACAATTGAGTTTTATACATTATTACAACAATTTTGAATAATTAAAAATAAAAGTAACTGAGTAAGTCAATTTATCACCTAGATTAATTGTTGTTAAAATTTATATATTTAAGCTATGACTAACAATAAAAGATTTTTTAAGACGATCTGTCTTACTAACAGGTACATTAAACCTTCGTTCGCTCCTTAAATCGTTATGATGATGTGCTTGCGGTGGAAGTAGGCCACTGAGCTTATGATTCGGATTATTAACAATATCTTCAAAAAGATGACTTGATAGTTGGGCTCGTCTGTCGAAGAGAGTGCAAATGCCGGCGTCTTTTAGCGCGTCAGCATATTTCAAGTCCGGGTGGATGATACGCATAGCGCGCCTTTGGATACTCTCAAGTTCATTTGACAGATATTTAGGGAGACTCCGATGAAATAACTGGCACGAATATTCCAGAAGTGATCTGATGGCACTACAGTAAAAAGTGATAAGATCTTTTGGACAGATCCCGGCTCTTTTTAATTGTCTCAAAAGATACAGTCGTTTTGCGGCTTTTACGGTGACAATACCGATATGGTCGTTCCACTTAAAATCGTCCCGGATTGTTACGCCAAGAATTTTGGCCACGCTAACTCTTTCTAACTGGAAATCATTGAGTTCGACTAAAGGGAATGATGGAGGGTTTCTCTTGAAACATGATCGTACTTCTTTACACTTAGTTGGTTTCAATTGTAATCGATTTTCTTGAGACCATGCATCGATATAGTCAACAGCTTGCTGAAGAGAGCTTTGCTTGGAGGGTGGTATCACTTCAGAGATTGTGCAATCATCGGCGAATTTCCACATAGGTAAGGATTCCTGAGGTAGCTTAAGATCATTGATTAGTACTAAAAACAACCAGGGACCAAGACGGGTTCCTTGAGGCACTCCTGCTGGGACGTCAAGCCAATCGGAAACGATGTTTTTTAGTTTAACCCTCTGCTTTCTATGTCTTAGGAAATCAATTATCCAATTGACGGCCGTGGGTTTTACGCCTATACTAAACAGTTTGGCGACTAAAATATTATGGTCCACAAGGTCAAAAGCTTTGCGGAAATCTAAAAGTATGGTTCTTACGGTGGATGCGGTGCCGTCAGTAGCTCGTAACCAATGATGGAACATAGAGATTAGTGCTAGAGTAGTTGACGATCCTGGGATGAACCCAAATTGGCCTGGGTCGATAATAGGTAGTAGAACAGGTTTCAACGCAATGTCTATGATGAAGCTCTCAGCAACTTTTGAGAGGGTGGGTGTTAGAGAGATTGGTCTTAAATCCTCATTGATGTTGCAGATAGAAGATGCCTTAGGCAGAGGACAGACATTGGCAAGTTTCCATGCGTCAGGAACTTTACATTCCAAGAACGAAGTATTTAGGATATCAGCAATTGGGGCCGCTAGAATATACGCAAAATTTTTAAGTACCCAGTTAGGGAGGTTGTCGGGATCACTAGCACGAGAAGCATTTAGCTCTAAAAGCTTTCTTGCGACAGAGTGTTCAGTGACAGATATTGGTCGATCATCAGCCATTTCTACACGTATACAATCTGACAGAGGTAAATAATCATTCATTATGTTGACAAACGCCGAGTTGATGTTTTCAGCCAGAGATTCCTTAT